AGGTTTGATGCTGAGTGCTCGCTTTCAAACATCTGCTGCTGCCGTAATGCTAACATCTGCTTTTGTTCTTGGTGCTAGCTATAACGAGAAGGCTAGAACAAAATAAGGAACCAGAAAACTTACCAGGGATAAGGTAGGTAAAAGAGCAAAACAAAGTCTAGCTGTAGAGCCAAGGTTGAATGAAGTTTATGCAAAATATGAATACGTTCAGGATTTGGGATTGGGTTCTGGACCCTATAGATCTGGCTTGGACTATACTGAATTTATTGCCAGTCTATAGTGGTTTTTAGTCTTCTTCCGGATTTTCTTCTCTCTAACCGAATTCTACTAGTAACTATTTAAATCAGAAGCGAGGAAATGAGCTGTCACTATACACAACAGGCACATAATGAAGAAGGAACTGGTGTTCTTTGCTTATAGCCAGTTTAACAGGAGAAATCTCGTTCTCCCCCTTATTAAAACCCCAGGAAATACATGGCAAAAATAACTCTGCGGCAATATCCGGGCATAGTTATTCCCATCTTGGGGTTTTACGCAAAACTCTTCAGGTCCCAATGCTTGCTGTATTATAAACTCTCCGGGAGTTTCATGGAGCATCCTCCTTGCCTACTCATTGCTGTAGTTTGTAATATCTGAGACAGTTTGATCAGACCTGGGCTTTTAGCTCCCTTTCGCTGTGAGTCCGACCTATAAGCAGATGCGCAGCAGCGTCTGCAGAAGCATGTAGCAGGCTTCTCTTTTTCAGGAAAGCCAGCGAGGAACTCAATACCGCCCGTCATATTGGAAGTGGTAAGCATTTCTACCAAGATGCTCATCTATTTAAAGCTCTGTCGGTCTACGCAGGAGTGGGGGAACTACCTAATGCAAAATTTAGAAATGGGAACGTTGCAGATCTCTGCTCGTGGTGACGGCTGGGAGCTCCCAGCAGCTTTGGGAAAACGGAGCCTCCGAGAGGACGTTCATTCACGGCCAGCGCCCAGGCCCCGGGCAGGGCATGGTGGGGGGTTATCTTGGAAACAAGCTGGACGATGATAAAACTAATTCCCGTGATCAGAACCTACCCATTATGCTTGTGGCTGGTCTACCCAGGGGCTCCAGGGGCAGTTGATAAGAACTAGCCATGATTCAACTTTAAAATCCAGTGGTTGTCTCCCGAGCCAGGCGCAAGGGGCTGG